GAGGTGTTCGCTGGTCTAGCATCGAGTCTACGAAATACTGAATCGGACGGTTTCACCGAAATCACGCTGATTGAACTCGGCTTGAGCAGTTCAGTTGAATTAAGAGATCTGAGGGTATATGAAGACTATTGTATTGTGTTGCCCGTCGTGGCACTGGTGCAGAGTAAGAGCACTTCTGTCAAGTTGCATATTGCGCAAACGGTAAGAATAAAATTGAGTGCAATTTGGAAAAAACATGCACATCAAATTTGAAGTCTTTGAAAACTCACGAGTGTATGTTTTTTCAAATTACACGAGAAACCATACTATTACTTATTACTATTATACATGAAAAAATTATGCAGTCACGTGCGTAAGTCACATTTAGAAATTAAAAAATTAAGAAAATTAAGAAATTTGAAAAATACAAAATTAAGAAATTTGCACTCACTGCATTTCTTTTTTTACACTGTATTTCATTTTTTTGGCACTGTATTTGGAAAAAATTGCACCACTGCTCTTAGCCAATCAGAATTGAGAAATTTTTGCATGTATGTTATTAGTTTTGGTAATCATGCGATGGCGAGTACAATTAGGGATTAATAGTACGAGTGATGTTTGGAAATTTTGCCAAAATTGGACCAGCCGCCGGGGCGAGTGGTGCTTTTTGTTTGTATTTTCATTTCTTTTGCTAACGCAAAATTTGGTGCTTTTGTTCGTATTTTTATGTAGTTCCTCCACGGCAATTTCAGTCCACATTTGTGTTTAAAATATCCAGGGGCGCCGGAAAGTCGATAATTGGGGGGGGGGCAGATATTCATATATTCATGTTCACAGACTGTTAAAACAATCGCTTTCAAAGGAAATAAATGATGCAGAACATGAATATATGAATATCTGCCCCCCCCCCCAATTATCGACTTTCCGGCGCCCCTGAAAATACCTTTTCGCCATTTCGTTTGTTTTGGGAAAAATCATTAATTGTACTGCAGTACAAATAATGAAATAATTGTACTCCTCTCAACCAATCAGCATCCAATAATTTTGTCATGCTAATAATAAGTTACGTAACACGCGCTCAAAGCTAATGAATGTACTTTCCACTAGGTTATCACTATATTCATTTTTTTAAATATTCAATTTTGTTTTTCAAGACTTAAAAGATATGTTTTGTGCTCTATCTGTACTGTAATTAAAATGGAGAGATTTTAGATGATACGCCAAAGAAAAAATTATGTCTGACATTCAGTACGTTTTGCTTATATTGCTGTATAAATATGGCGTCAATTTTACAGCATCAATGGTAATTGCCTTTAAATTGCCAATATTTAACTATTATTTTGTGTTTCTCAACCGCCAGATACATTTAAAAAGGTTGCTATAACTGTGTAAACTACAAAATAAAGTTAAAACAAAGTAATTTTGAGAAGAACGCCAAAAAGATTTTAGGTTTTCATTGAAAATACGTGACATTGAAACAGATTGCCTCTTAAATGCTATACAAATATAAATGCTATATAAAGTCGATCAGACAAAAAAATTTGATCTGCCTTTTGATTGGTTAGTGCTAATTAAATTATACTATTGTTCTAACAAGTCTGATGCAGTAATGATACTGTGTATAACAAGAATGTTACAAGGTTGACGACACAAGGTTGTAACAATATTGTTATATCATGACTGTATTCGGACATGTTGGAACAACTTTGCAACAAGTCTGATAATATCAACAAGGTTGTTACATTTGTTCACAGCTTGTTCCAAACTTGTTGACAACTTGGGACAAGAGTGCGAACACAACTTGTTGACGGCTTGTTGGCAGACTTGCTACAAGATGTGAGATTATTGCGTGTGTATACTACCTGCTCAAGATCTCTATTGTCACTACCTACGCTTGCGCAGACCGTTTGAGTGTATAAAATACTTGCCTTGTTAAACTTACTGCAAAACAGTTGACATTGATTTTTTATACATGAATCGCGAAATTCGATTGCGCATCCAAATGACGCGTTCTTAGTCGGACAAAGCCCGAATTCAAAAGAAGCTGTGGCTGGATGATTTCAAATATGCATATGAAAGTATTGAAATGTTCAGTCATGCATTCGTGTTGTATTGTAGTAATATGTAATCATGAATGCATGAGTGAACATTTGAATACTTAAATACGCACATTTTAAATCATCCAATCACAGCTGCATGTTTTTCTTTAACTGTGATTTTTACCCGAATTTGGGATTCGTGTATTATAATCCTTTTTCTATAAATTGTCTAGCTTTTAAAGTCAGTAGAAGAATCACAAATGAGCGCAACCAAATGTGCGCACGAAGTGGCATGGTATGATCCTATATGGCGACTGTTACTTAAACCACAAAATGATGCGGGTAATCAAGAGACTGATCTTATTCAAGACCTGCTGGAAACTGTCGTCAAAGTTGTCTTCAAAATTCTCTGGTTTGGTATTGAGGGATACAATGATGAGGCTTGGAAGGTATGGAGCTGTTAGTCTTCACAAGACCATGATTTCTGGGCTAACAGCGCCTGTCACAATAAGTTTCAATTGTAGTCGATTTCGGATCACGGATTCGAATCTTGGCCTCGTTTTCGTGTTTAAACTTATTTCCACATTTAATAGTCAAAATCCAAAATTCTTTTTTATGCATGTGTTGACGAAGGATGTTCTGCTTCTCTGACCATAGCACGCGAGAAACAAACTTAAAATCTATTCCATTTAAGGTGGTCCTAAGTTGAAAACAGTGTTAGTCGTGACGTAATTACCGGAAAGATCAATTCGTTCTATTTGTCCAAACTTCTGCATTTAACAATGTTATTAACTTAGGCTCGTGGCGAGGTCATTGCATCAGTCAGCACAATCAGTTCAGTTGAAGATTTCATCGTACCATCACGTGAACTGGAGAGGCGTTTATTAGAGTTATCTTTGGCACAAGTTCTTGAAGATATTGAGAGATCAGGGGAAACTGGAGTGAAGGAAAGTATGAGCGCTTTACAAGTCATCAAACTGGTGGACGATTTTATATTTACATCTGGTGAGTTTTGGGACCTACGTCAGAAGTTGTAAACGAATCTCTTTCGCCATTATATAAACAGTTTTTGTGTTTCCAAAGATACAAAAACTAGGAAAACACATGCCCTGAAAATTTAAAAGTAATAAAACCCACCTAATCTTCGGACTTATTCGAGTCAGGTGCATGGTCCTTTGTATTTACATATCACTGTTGACATGGCTTATTTATCATGCTTTGGAAATGACAATCTTTTATTGCCCAACCCTTGTTTTTCATTTACCCAACCTTTTACTCACTCAAAATTTCGTTTACCCAACCCTTTTTTTTCTCTTCGGTAAATGAGTTTCATGTTTTAGGACCGGAGTATCGTGTATTATATATTCCATAATTTGTTCTAGGGAGCATTGCTGGTTCTGTAGAAAATGAGAGTCTGAGCACCTGGAGTACAAAGGTATTTCGATAGATGGTCATTTAATTGACTTAAATTCAACTGCGATTGAAGAAGCACCATTATATATTGAGCTATAAATTGATATTCAGTTAGCTTGATAGTTTCCTTAGCTCTCAATCTTCAGCAAGTTGAGATCGTGTCGTCGTGTTTGCCTCGTCTTCTTTTCTAAATCTGTGTATTATCAACAAACAAGCATTTGTAGATTAGAGACTGATTATACAAATTCCAGATAGTGATTTTTGAACCCTTCAAAAATACCTGAAAGGCTTTGAAACCTCTAATATAAACTTCAATCTGGGCATACCAATCTACAGACAATTCTAGGGGGATAATACCCATACACCCAGCACCACATTAGCTCTTGTTATTCTGTATTAATTTGATATATTATAATCTATCTAATTTCAAGCTTGTGGAGACGATGGTACGTTTGTTGGGCTGTCTGAATGTGTGGAACGAGTCTGACGGCAACCCGGGCTGGGCTGAAATGGCAGAGATGGGAGATAAAATACTGCTGGAGTTTCTTCTTCAAGACAAGCCTGAGTTTTGTGCTTACTCTTCGTCAATGATTTACACTGTCTGGCAAAATCGCCAAATTGATTGTCAGGAGAAAGTCTGTTATCTTCTTGGCAAAGTTTACGAAGCATTTAAAATCTCTAAGAATAAAGGTATAGTACATAAGCGGTTTCCCTCGAATTACTGAGTTTTGCACTTTAAGATCGTGGAGGGACACATTGAGATTCGACAATACATCTTCTCAATTTGTATGATGTGTATCGTCATGTGGTGGTCATTGAATCTACGATGTATATCATCACACAGATGCACATTTATGTGTGATGTATATCATACAGGCGCATTGATAACCCGACCCTCCGTCCACTCTAATCCCTCTCCCACTCTAACCCCTCCCCCACTCTAACCCCTCCCCCACTCTAACCCCTCCCCCACTCTAACCCTCTCTCCACAGGGTAAGTAGTTTAGACAGACTTGGACTGAGCGGTAGAATTAACTGTTCAGGTTTCCTTTTCGTGATAACCAATACGGGATGACTCTTACTAGACCTCTGGGAAGAACAGTTTAGAATTGAAAAAGATGTTGAGAATATAAGTAACATCTAAATTACAGCTTCTAAATTTCTTTTCCAGAAGGCGACAGTAAATATACCTTCACACTGCCATTATTACGTTACATTCTGCAACAATATGGGGATCTCGTCCCATTGACAACCTACGTTCCTGATTTTCCAACTCGATCTCTGGATAACGCTGATTATGAAGAACAGTTTCTTCAGTGTGTTGATAGTGAGGAGTTCGCTGCCTTGATGAAACAGCAAATTATACCAAGCATGAAGAAATATCAGGTCTCATTGTAAGTATAAGGCCTACACACCTCAAAACGCACAAGTCGTTACAGGTCTGCAAACAAGTTGTTATAAATCTGCTCACAAACTGTCGACAAATTGCAACAAAGTTTGGAACAAGCTGTTGACAACTTGTAACAAGCTTGATGGCATTATCAGATTTGTTGAAAGGTTTCTCTACCAAACCCGATACAGTCATGATATAACAAGCATGTTACAAGGTTGACGACACAATGTTGTCACAATATTGTTATATCATGATTGTATCGGACTTGTTGGAACAACCTTGCAACAAGTTTGAATATCAGCAAGGTTGTTACAAGTTGTTAAAACTTGTTCCAAACTTGTTGACAATTTCGGACAAGCAGTGCGAACACAACTTGTTGACTGCTTGTTGGCAGACTTTTTACAAGATGTGAGATTTTTGAATCAATGCAAACGAGCTCAAACCATGAGTTTAGGTATGGTTTAGGTCATCATTTACACACACGGCGCTTATAACGTGTCCTGTTTACACGCGCAAGTTTCAACGATTTCAAATAGCACTCGTCCTTCGGACTCGTGCTATTTTAATGCTCTTTGAAAAACTCATTCGTGCATGTTTTATCCAAATTGCACTTAAAACCATACTATTATATACCAAAACTAATAATATACATGGAATAATTTCTCAATTCTGATTGCCTAAAAGCGGTGCAATTGTTTCGAAATACAGTGACAAAAAATGAAATACAGTGCGAATTTCTTAATTTTTTAAAATTTTCTTAATTTTTTTATTTTTCAAATTTCTTAATTTTCTTAATTTCTAAATTTCTAAATGTGACATGCGCACGTGACTGCATAATGTTTTCATGCATATTATTAATAAGTAATAGTATTGTTTCTCGTGCAATTTGAAAAAACATACACTCGTGAGTTTTTCAAAGACTTGAAATTGCACTCGTCCTTTGGAATTCTGATAGTCTTTGAAAAACTCACTCGTGCATGTTTTTCCCAAATTGCATTCGAAACTATCCTATTACCTATACATATAGGGAACTCCTGGTGTGAATCACTGATCTGCAGTACTAAGACATTGTACCATATCCAACCTTCGTTTATCTTTAGAGCAAAGTCTTCAATTGACTCGGGCCGCTTCTGGATGGAGTGTCTGAATGGTTTAACCAACAGTTTGCAGCTGAGAGAAACGAGTGAAGAGGAAAGTAAGACGAAATTCCAGGAAATTGTCGTATTGTTCAAGGAAATTGAGGAAACGGCACAGTCAGATTATAAAAATCGTAGATTGGAAGAGAAAGCTCAGTATAATCGTGTTCTGCAGCAATGGCAGCTGACCAAGAGAGATTTGGAAAGTGAAATTGGAATTTGGGAAAATAGGTAAGGGAAGTGAAGAAAATGAGAAGTCGTAACAGTTACGGTTAATAGCGGGTTACGGATTTGGCGATCTGACCCATCATTTAAAATTTTAAATTCATAGGCAAAAGCATGTTTTAGAAATATCAGTCATCATGCTTTGAACAGGGATGGATTTTCTGGGGGTGGGGCGGGGGGTTAGAGGGGTGCACCCCTGATAGGAGTGGTGAAGCTAGCCGTGGCAACTGGTCATGCTATGCTTATTTACCTGCATCTAAATGGGTTAAAGACAACACATTTGTAAAGTTTGAATAATGAAAATAATTAAAAGATTGCATAGCATGACCTATAGCTATATGGCTAGCTTGTCCACTATCAAGCTGATAGCCTTGGCAAAGGGAGATACCATGCTAATAATATGAACAAGCTTTCGTTTGTAGGGATGCAACGACCTGAAAAATATAAGGAGAATTTCGACGTTTCGAGCGAAAGCTTGTTCATATTATTGGCACTAACTACACTGGCACAGACAATTCAAGATTACATGCTAATTATAGCATGTCAAGTGCAGTGATGTCTGTGGTAATGTACATTTGCAGGCTATAATTAGCTATCTTGGGGGGTTGTTGTAAAACATTTAGTTCTATCTAACAGGGCGAAAGATAGCAGCCTTACCAGGCTAAGTTCTATCGAGTGAGATGCCAAAATCCTGATATTTATAATAAGCTGGTATTCGTGTTTATTTCTCAAACTAATAACTGATCATATGCGAGGTTCAGATTCTGAATCTGAATCAAGTATGGAAGTGAAATTCGCGATCGATTTGACCAGACACTCCTCCCTTTACGCGTCCCTTTCGTCTCGCGGTTTTGTAAATGTCCCTGGAGCAAGGGTATTCGGACACAAATCAATACTGAATATTATGTGTGTTGTGTGTAGGTCTGTTGATGAAAATTACTGGAAACTGTCCACTACGGAAAACTTCTCAAGAATGCGGTTGAAACTGACGCCTAACTACTACTTCAATCCACACATCGAGGCAAGCAGACTGCGCGACACAGGCGCAGTCACGGGGCCTGCGGACGAGGCAAAAGTCTTGGCTGGAGCGGTCGCTGATCAAGTGCTCTTGAAGCACTACGCTGCGGAGAGACTGGAGGAGACAGGAAATGTCGAATTTCCTCAAGCTGTGGAGTAAGTAAAGAAGCACGAGTGAGGTTAGCGCGCTGCCTCGTAGTTCTGCCGTTAGCCTCCTACTGTAGCTCGAGTGTAGGGTATTACTTTGCTCAGATCAAACGAGGATTAGGGTAAATGAGAGTTGGCTATTTATTTAAGTCGAAACGTAGTTGGAACACTCGTCAAACCTTTATTCTGTTCATCTGGTGCTTAGATATCCCCAATAAGAATTCATGACACCAACAAGATATTTCAAGCGAAAAATTATATGCATTATATTTGGGCCCTTTTTAAGTACACTCACCTAGAGTACAACGGCAAATTATTATTTGAAATAAAGCCCGTCGTCTATTTTTCCACAAAAATAAAACAATTACATTTATCACGATTTAGACTTGGTTCAAGTCCGTCTTTCAAGGTTGAAAATAGCGATGCACGCAAACGGTCAAAAAAAGCGCGAAAATATGATAGAAAAGTAGGGAGAGACGGACTTGGATACCCTGCAAGCGCGCCAAATATTACCGTCGGATTTTTCCTACGGAGGCGTGGCTTGCCAGTTGAGAACAACAACAAATTTTCGCGCCAATTTTTGCAAGTAACATTCGAAATGCTGCGAATGTCCCAAGTCCGTCTCTCCCTACTTTTCTCCTGAGACAAGTGTAATCACGATTTACCAATAATAGCTTACAGCTAATTATGGAAATCACGCAACCTACACAAAACACAGTGATCTGCTAGCTAGCCCGCGTGCAGGCCCACCTAGGGAAGAACAGTGGGCCTTGCAAGGAAGACCGGGTGTTTTTTAAAACGCCCCTTTTCATAACACGCCCCATTCGCGCATCAATTGTCAAAAAAGAAGCTTGAAATTCCTAGAAAAGTCCTTGAATTTCACCTTCACCAAAGGGTGGACACCCTGGTTTAAAAACTTACAAGGAACTTATTTTTGTAATTTAGATCTCCATCTGCGGCAGACAGTGTTAGCAATGCCGCACCAAGTACGTTTGACTGTGAATTAATCACGCTTATGGAAACTGTGCCCGGTCGAGTGAACATCTCGTCGACATCTGTAAGTTTCACAGCGACTGAGAGGCAGAGTGTGCTGGATGGTTCTTCATGGGACTTCAAGATCGCACTGAATCAACTACGAGAACTTCACTTGAGAAATTTCAATCACAGAAGAAGTGCTTTGGAGTTCTTTCTTGTTGATCAAACCAACTACTTTATTAATTTCACCAAAGAGGTAGCTTTTTATTAGCTCGAATTTGATGTGTCTTTCTGTCCACTTTGAACACAAAAGCATAAAAGTAGTCGAGCCGTACATACGAACCAGGGGCGTAGGAAGCTTCGAAAAGTTGGGAGGGGCCAGGCTTTGAGGGGCACTTTTCGGAAAAAAAAGGGCATTTCAAAAAAATTTTTCCCGGAAATGTTGGCGACGGGGAGGGGGGAGGTCATCTCAAAAAAATTTTTCGGACATATTCAAAAAATTTTTCCGGATATACCACTTTTTTTCCTAAATACGAAAAAAATTTTCCGGACATACCAAAAAATTTTCCGGATATATGATATTTTTCCCGGAAATTAAAAAATTTTTCCGGAAATAACATAGATTCATGTTTTCAAAAGTGCCCTTTGGGCAAAAAATGCAATTTTAATGAAAAATTTTCACGCAAAAAAAGGGCACTTGGCAAAACTTGGGGGCCTGCCCCCCCCCCCGGTTCCTACGCCCCTGACACGAACGGATTTTTCTTGTCCAAAAGCTGGCATGACTAGCTTTGGAACAAGGTTCCTTGGCAAGGAAAAGTTGTCAATTTTTTGCCCTACACACGAGCAAATATAACTTGTCAAGGAGAAATTGCTCGTCTACATCATTTAAAGGGACTTCAGGTATGCCGGCATGCCAAAATAGGTATCAAGATTTTGTTGGCACCTCACTCGATTGAATAATAGTTGCCCATACCTTAACATGGCAGTACCCTAGTACATAGACGGATTTTCATATTCTTTACTGGGGTGGTGCCAGAAATTTTAGGGGGGGGGTGAGCCGTGAGCAGGTGACTGAAGCAACACAAAGTGTCACCAAACCCCAGTAAGGTCTATATTCTAGGGGTGGAGCACTAGAGCCGCGAGGAGGAGTCTAGAGAGCAGAAAACAAAGTATCCCTGGAAAAATTTGAAAAAAATCATGATTTCTAGCTTTGAAAAAAAGTTTTTTGAAGTTGTCATATCAATGGATTTGGCATGTCCGATTGTCTGTTGAGACTTGAGAGAGTTAAAGTTAAATGAACCTGTAAAAGTGTAAACCCAATAGGCCAATACACAATATGCTTTTACTTTTATAAAGTCATTGACATTGTGTCGTTTGAATCCGAGTACAATTTATGATTTCTATTTGAGTGTACTCCTACGTTTATTTTGCATCATCAACACTCTGCACGTTGGAGTGGACTATTTAATTATTTTTGTTATGCCGAATATTGGGGTGGTTGAAAATGTTTTTGGAGGGGTGGACATTTTG